TGCTTAGGGCAGTGATGTCCAAACTTTTTGACATGATGGCTAAAATTTTTATGTTGAAAGAACTTTGGGGCTGTAAAATAATTTGAAAACAAACTTATCTTTTTTAAAGTTTATCTGCTAAATTAAAGTAAAAATTTAAATGATTGTAGATACAAGACAAAGATTTTGCATGTCTGCATTATGAGACAGGCTCAAAGTTTCTAACTTTTCAGTGTTGAGTATTGTTTTCTTATTTGGGTTACATGGTTTGCGTTTGAGTAAATGTAGGTTGTGTTTGTGGTTCTAGTTCCTCCAAATAAGATGAATGCAGAAGTGTCATTAATAAATGGAAATCTGTGTTTTGTTCTTCATATTTTTCAAGATGTTCTCTGTAAAAATCTTGGTCTAGAAGATGAAAATTGTTCATTTGCACCGACCTCTGCTTTTATTGAGAACAGGGGGCTGTTCAGAGTTGTTTGTAGTTTGTGACAACTGGCTTATTGTCTTGTTGTAAGTTGTGCAAACTTACTGTTTGGTCATTTTCTGTTCATCCTCTAAAACAAAACAAACACATACAAATATATATATATATATATATATATATATATATATATCTTCCCCCATATATTGACTCCAGCCCAGGGGCCCCCATCCTGACTCCAGCCCAGGGGCCCCCATCCTCCTAAATCCAGCCCTGCCTAGTGGCAACAACCTCCAGGTCCCACGCGGTCTCACAATTCACTCGGTCCAGCAGTTCGCAACGGTGACAGACCAGGTCCCGGTTGCAACAGCTCCCAGATCCGACAGCTGTAGCTCGGCTCCCTCGGCCTCAGCTGCTCGCAGGTCCAATCGGTGGCAGACCGGTTCTCTGCTGCAACAGCCCCCAGATCCGACAGCTGCAGCTCAGCTCCCTCGGTTCCAGCGGCCCGCAGGTCCAAACGGCGGCAGACCGGGTCCCGGTTGTAACAGCTCCCAGACCCGACAGCTGCAGTTCGGCACCCTCGGTTTTCAGCGGCTCGCAGGTCCAAACGGTGGCAGAGCGTGTCTTCGCTGTGACAACCCCCAGGTCCTCTCACTCAATCCAACGGCTAGCGGCGGTAGCACTCACCCGGCCTCACTGGCCGAAGCAACTCCCAGGCTGGCTCGTTAGCTTAACTCGTGGCTCAGCTTCCACGGTTCAGAGCGCGAGGACTTCCTTCTTCCACCTGTTCCGTATATTCCGTTTTTTTGTTGATTTGCTTTGTTTTGTTTTTTTTTTAATGTCCAGAGGACCAGATTTAACTTTTTTAGATTTCTCTACCTGGATTATTGAGCATGCATC